GCGTGTGTGGAAGAATATTTGTTAATCACCATAAACAAAATTTGTTACAAAATGCATAATAAATTTTCTTATTACGTTAATAAAATTATAATAAATTTTTTTTTACAAATAATATAAAAAAATATATTTATTTTTAACAAAAAAATACATTTAAAAATTAGCAATTTCATAACCACTTTTTTCTTAAATTTTCAAAAATACAATTATAAAATAAAAAATAATTAAATTTTTATTAATTTTATAATATAATATGTTATGGAGGCTCAAGTATGAGCCTCCATAATTATGGAGGCATCAGCATGGTGCCTCCATTTTGGAGGCTCAAGACATGAGCCTCCATGTAACAGAGGATCATGTTTGAGCCTCCATTATGGAGCCTCCGTTACACGGAGGCATTATGCTTTACTAAAAAATTACTTTACTAATATATATATAAATAAATAAATAAATAAATATATATATATATATATATATCATAAAAACATATTACTTTATAAAAGTTAATTTTAAAAATTATATTTGATAGGTTATGTAATTTTGAAGCAAAATCTAATATATTAAGATTAGAATCATTTCATAATAAAAATGAAATGATAATAAAAATTCATTTCTCGAAAAATAAATATATTCATTTGTTAATAAATAAAAATATTATTTTTATATATGTACGTAAAAGGTATATAGTAACCATTGGATGATCAAAAAATAATATCAATCAAAATGTTTATGAACCGTTTAAATAATAATTAATTGAGGGGGTTAATTCAAGAGCAAAAGTGTGAATTCCATAAATATATGTAAAAAAAATTCGCTTAAAATTATTTAAAAGTTAAAAAAAAAAAACTTACAATTGTAAAAATTACTTGTAACTTAACAATATATTAACTTTAAAATTTGGAGTAAATATTTAAATATATTGAATTTTAAAAATTAAATATTAACTTATATGTTAAATAGATGATCTATAAATAAAATATTATTTAAATAAAAAAAATCAAAGAAATCTCTCCATATTTATTATGGAGACTTGACCTCTCCATGAGATCAAGCCTCCGTATCACGAATGATTTTTCTTCGTAATACGGAGGCTTGTTCTGAGAGATCAAATCTCTTGTTATGGAGAGATCATGCCACCGTATTACGGAGGATTGAGACTTTCAAGTATGAACACTAATTTTTTTCTTTGAATTTGTTTATTAGTAATATTTTTATTTGTTGATATTTTTTGCTATCACTATTTTATTTCCAACAATCACTTTTATGTAAGAAATTATTAATAAATAAAAATACAGACAAAAAATATTTGTAAAATGTAAGAAGTTACTTATAAGTAAAAAAATCTACAATTTTGACGCTAATAAAAATACAATAAATACAAAACTCGTGCAACGCACATGTCAAAGACTAGTATTGTATAAACATGTTAAAATCTATGTATCCAAGTACTATATGAAACAACTAGACTCTTTGATTAGTATTACCACCGGTAATGAAAATACTTGTGAACATAATTTATATAGTCCATTGTAATCTTCATTCAAAGCAGGTTCCATTTTCCATTAAAATCCCACAAGATCGAAATTCAATATTATTACGTACACTAAATCACCCATTACACGTGCAATGCACGTGTGTCCACTAGTTTTATATAAAAAGGGAAATCTTGTCTTCAAATAGTAATAAAATCCTTGTTTTTTCTTGTTGCAAATAAGCTAAACTAACACAATTTGAGAGGAAGAAAAGTGAAATTTTGATTAGAGGAAAGATGGAGTAAAAAGTGACATCATCTTCTTGTAACTTCCATTTTAATGAAAAATGAATGAAAGGGTTAACTTGTACCTTAAATTGGGAATTTGATGTGTGTTTTTCCTTTAAAAATAATTCTTAAATTTGAGCCTGGGTTGTAATATTTGAGAACCATGATTGATATACAATTAGTTATTTGTTAATTCCTTGGATTAAAATTCATTTAAACTTAAAAGACTTAGTTAGATCTTTAGGCTTTTGACCGATCTACATATTTAAGTTTACATTCCTTGTATGAATCGAGCTTCCAATGCTCGTTTCTTAAATAAGCCAAACCAACCAAAACAAAACAAGTAATTTTGAGACCTCACATCCCTCATACCTTACACGTAAACCTAAAAATTTTCCTCAATTTTTAAACACACATTGTCCAATAAATCACTATTTCGAAATATATATATTTTTAAAAATAAGGCTCAAACAGTGACCAAGTCTTGTGTGAATTTAAGACCATACCTTAAATCTTAGTTCCAATTTTCTTGTGAATCTTAGGACTCAAAATTTTTATTCAACAAATATGAATGAATAGTGTTATGCCTACTTACACATGGTTCCACATGAACAACCCACTGTAGCTCTGGGTCCACTCAAGTCGAAGCACATCACTCAGTGACTGAGTCCCTGAAGCTAAAGTGGAATGCAACGTAGCCGAAGTTGACTCCTCAATCGAGGCTTAGAACCATAAAGTCCAAAGCCTAGTGGGTCAAGATGGTAGCCTCCGAAGCCCACGATACTGAGGCCGAGGCCTTCGAAGCATCTTCCACTTTCACTTCTTCCAAAGGATTCGCTTCTACATAGATATCTTATTCAAATGGTTGATGAGATATTCTTCATAAAGTGTAAATGTCAAGTTTTGTCAACAAAGTGGCGGCTCTGCATGGATAATAAATGTATTGCAGGCTAGCAAGTCAAGAATGATGTTTAGGATTACATGTATGAACTAAGGAGATGAGGCCACGTGTATCACCATCCAAGGGACACCATTTCACTTGTACCACTATAAATACTCCCCCATGTAACATTTGTAATACTAATGCAACATTGAATAAAACAACACTCTTCACTTTATTCTCTCTTGCAAGACAACTAAGTTTACTTTACATTGATTCATTGGAATTGGCAATTATTGTAAAATCGTTCCACAAATGCATCGTCGAATTCTGAACGTTATCGTCTCGTGTTGAACGGCTACCACAATACCCTGTTTCCAAAGCATTATAGACTGTTGGTTTGTCTTAGCGTGTTAGACTTGGCCTACATGTACTCGAGTGGGTTTGACATCTATTGTTCGAGTGGTCCTAACAGAAAATGAGGTCAACAAATTTGTGTCTGTGGATCCACACTATAGCCATGGCAACCCCATGGTGAAAGCTTGGAGAGAGAGAATATATGTGCATCCTCCTTGAAAAAAGATTTGTTGTTGAAAAAGAACAAGAGGAAGTTTCATAAGTTGGTCACATTTGAAGTTGGAGTGCAGAAAAATGAGTTCTGATAAAGATGTACCCTTAGAAGGGTGAGAGAAAATGCTGGCGCAGCTTCTCCAGCAGTTGTCCCAGCTAGTTGTTGCCCACCTCACTACCACTATAGACGAGGTAGAATGCGAATGGCTACCCAACTTGGTCTGGAGCTTGTACTAATCCCACATATTCTTACGGATATTAATCGAGACAAAATACTTTAATTTGATCAGTACTGAATTATTAGTATGTATTATGCCTTCATTTGAGTTTCATTTTATTAAAAATTAATTTTTTTCAAAATTCATTTTCGATAACACGTTTTTCAATAAAATAATATTACACGCAAATCCAAAATTTTTCATTAATTTTTAATCATACATTTTGCATCAATCTACTATTCAAAATGCATTCTTTCCTCCCAAAATGGGGCTCAAACAAGGACATAACTTGATTTTGATTGCTCTTGATCGATTGAGGAAGAGTGTGTTTATATAGAGTTGAGATTTTTTTCGTCCTATATTTTTTACCTTCTTCCAATACATATTTGTCACTTAAACACATAATCTTTTCCTTAGCAAATAGGAAGACGTCAATTTGAAATGTGCTGAGGTGTTAAGATATGTGTTGACGTCTTTTCATTTGATAAGAAAATGTGATGTACCGAGATATCAAAAATGTATTGAAGGGACACAATAGATGTGAGCTCGTTCACTTGCATTTGTAGTTTCAATAATTTTGTTGGATGTACAAATTCTATTATAGAAATTCAATGATAAATTTACGAAACAATGTTAATGGGTGGGGTCGTTTAGTGTATAGAAAGAATGCTCTTCGATGTTCGTGTCAGACTACAATAAATAAGCAGATAATAATATGCTTTACTAGGTACTATAACATTAACGTGATAAAATATGTTTGGTAAAGTATATTAGATAAAATTACACAATAATAAGAAGAAAAGAGAAATTAAAATCTTGTTTGTTGTGGTATCCTACGCGGTCTAATTCAATAAATTATACTACACACATAATTATATTAGGAAGAGTTTGACAAACTTTTTTGTACTTTAAATTAATTGATGTCTACGTTCCTTATATACATTACAAGCCACGCCATACCATGCCGTGAAAAGGGATACTGAGGATCAAGCCTAGAAGGTTTGAGTCGATGCCACTTTTTTTAACACTCATATCTAGTGCTATCCAATCATCAATATGTTCTTTCTTTCTAGGGTGCGATCATTTGCTTTGTTGAATTAAATAATATTTAGTAGTATAAGCCATGTCATGTCATGAGCCAAGGTTTTCATTGTCACGTTTAGCATGCCAGAGCTCATTTCACTTATTTTTACACCTCTATTAAGTATTATCGTATCAATATGTCCCCTATTATAAATGAATAGTTGGATCTCAAAATTGAAATCCTATGCTACTATAGTACATAAAGGTTATAGAACCCTGCATTTAAAAATTTTAGTCAATAGTCGGTTGACTCTAGGAGCTTGTTTGACGTAGATTTTTTAGAATAGTTTTTGCGAGGAGTATTTTTTGGACATTATATAATTAAAAAGTGGGAAAAGCTATAGATTTACGTATAAAATTATTTTATTGGAAGAATATATGATTGAAAATAAGTTTAGGGAAAAAAAAAAAGAGATAAAAAATCTATGCCAAATATGGACAAAGTCCATAGTTATCTCACTTGCTCTTTCCTCTATAAGAACTCAACCCTTATCTTTCTCCATAACAAGTAGATTTTCCATGATAATGGGGAACCACAATTTGGTTCTACCAATCTTAGCACTTTTCCACTTGGGGACATTGCTTATTTCTCTGGCATGTCCTTACTGCCCATACCCAATTCCTCCCCCCCTTCCACTCAAATTTCCACCAAAACACCCCCCAACTGTAAAGCCGCCAAAAACACCACACCATCCCTCACCCAAACCTCCCGTCGTAAAACCACCAACACACGTGCCCAAACCTCCTAATGTAAAGCCGCCGTCGAAACCTCCCGTAGTTAAGCCACCTTTCACTCCCAAACCTCCCTTTGTAAAGCCGCCACGGAAACCTCCAGTAGTTAAGCTACCTTTCACTCCCAAGCCTCCCATTGTGCACCCACCATACAAACCCACACCCACGCCTCCTCTATTGCCACCACCATCTGTGCCAAAACCACCCATCATCAAACCACCACTCCCACCAATAGTCACGAAGCCTCCACCCGTCCCCGTAACACCACCGGCGCCACCAACTGAAACGCCGTGTCCTCCACCACCACTGTGTCCTCCGCCATCACCTGCACAGCAAACTTGCCCCATTGAAACCCTAAAACTGGGTGCATGTTTGGACTTGTTAGGACGTCTTATACACGTTGAAATTGGCAGCAGTGCTAAGGACACTTGTTGTCCAGCACTAGACGGACTTATCGACTTGGATGCAGCATTATGCCTTTGCACCACAATAAAGGCTAAGCTTCTGAATATTAACATCCTTATACCAATTGCCCTTGAAGTCCTTGTTGACTGTGGCAAAACTCCACCCCCTGGTTTCCAGTGCCCTGCCTAAGGTACATAAACAAATTTTCTTCAATTAATCACTGCATGTTTTTGAGACGGACATATGGACAAAATTGAACATTAGAATAAGTAAAATTTAACTTTTTTTCCTTATTTAATATGGTATAGTATTATACGCTTCACCCTAGGTTGCACATACATGGAAATAACACTTGGAAACGGTATTTCTAAAGAAGAAAAATAGGTTACAATAATTTATTTTCTTGTAAAATAAATATTGAATTATAATATTTAGAAAACGCTCATCACTTGTTTAATTTTATGCAGTGTAAAATTCAAAGTCTGAAATTATATAAATTGTTTGATGAAACTCGGAATATTAGCTTACTTCTTAGTTGAAGCCACAAAAAGTCCAATATTCTTAATCAAGGTTTTCAAATATTATCGTCAAAGTTTCTGAAAGTTTCACAAATATTTTCAAATTCTGTTAAATACTAATAAAATTTGGAATGTTTCTGAAACGTTCTTGCAAATTTTGCAAATAGTGTTACATAACAAATTCAAATATGACGGCTGGAATAATGAAATAACGGTCAAAAAATCAATTTTTTGGGAAAAAAATCACTCCCAAATAGGCTTTTAATAGAACCATTTTTAAGATCCCCGAGCCCTCCTGAATGTTCACACTTTAAATAGAAACGATTCTCAACAAACGTAAAATCAAGTGGTTGAATGAGAAGAATTTTCAGCGTTTCTCATCAAATCTATGAATAGTTGTATGTATATGTTACCATCTACGAGTATACGAACTCTTACAAGTAGACGTATAGAATCGAGACAAGCGTCGATTAGATCGTTAAATGGCTCTTTTCTAGTCCTTTTCCTAAAAGAAACCTCCTTTTCTAATTGGATTTGTTCCATCCATTCTATTGATTGTATAGTATCCGAATGCAATTCTAACACATCCTAAACGAACCACGTCTCGAAAAAAGTCATGAAGCAAGAACACGAGGTTTTTACACATTTTTCTTTGGTTAAATCTGACTAATTCAAAATGAAGAAAATGTCTAAAAGTGTGGGCAGAAATTTTTGCATATGAACAAAAAGAGGAAAAATGGGATAGCCATGACTTGACCACCTTAATTAGGGGCGGCTTTTGTTTTCTTTTTGCCCGCAAATCAGGGCATCTTCTATTCCCTGTCGGCCGGAGTGTCGTTTCTATATCACGTTTGAAAGTGATACATCTACACATTTCACTCTCCATTTGATTAGACAAGAAAAAATATATTATGCTCAACACGGAGCCAAGGTTGACTCGACTACGTCTCTCTATAAAGGCAGACTAAACTGAGCTCTTGTTTGATCCCAATTTTTATCGAGAATCGATTTTCATTACAATTATATGGAGCCCATTTGCATTTTATAATATTTTTGGCAGGACAAATTATAACAAAAAAGAAAGATAATATCATGTCACATGTGCTTTTACTTTGAAAAAGACGATATTGTCCATGTTTGGATTTTCCAGTTGACGCATAATTTTACGCACACAATTACGGTGTTGAGTAACTTATCGAGGGTATATTTGATACTTCCATGAAACGAGTAACTTATCGAGGGTATATTTGATACTTCCATGAAAAGTGCACATAGAGTTGTCCAACGGTATCTTTATTTGGGACACTATATTTAATATAAAAATTCTGATTTTCAAACTAACGAATTCTACTAAAAATCTTATTTCTAGCAAAACCAAACAAGAGCTGAATCAGATCATTTTATGCCTCTAGTCGAGTGAATAGATAACATATCTATTTAAGTCGGCACTCCGGCACCGATATAATACCATATCTTACAAATTTCATTGTTTTACAAGAGAATACCTTTTCCCTTCTTGACATTGCATCTAGACATCAAGCAATCTAACTATTCACTGAAAAAATATTTGGTGCGCCAGACGGAATGATGCAATAGATGAACTTTTAGCTTTTATTTTTTCTTCTTTAGCACTATCTAATACTATAGACTGAACATCACAAAGCATGGCATGAAAGAAGCTTACAACATAACAGAGGGGCAGAGTCTTTCGCGCTGCATTTATGTACACAACCTAAATTGACTGTCGACGCCACAAACCACCATACCATTACATTACAAGAAAAATCTTCTCTTGTAAAATCTCAACATCCGTGCACATCCCGCCACCTCAGATAAACGAGTCCTGCACGGTAATGTGTGTAAGCTCCGGCCACCACAAGAACATGAAAAAGTTGGTGGCTGTGCCCTGCAATATCAAACTTCCCGGGCATCCATCTCTCGGGAACTCTGGTGGCATACACCAGTGCTCCAATGCCATAAAATGCCCCCATCAAAACTTCGTAACCTGTCGTATGGAGCGCCTCGGGTTGGTGCCAAAATAGGATGAGCTTGTGCAAAATAGGCGCTACACCAGATACGCCCATCCCGAAGAAGAGAGATGCTCGAAACCCACGATATTCTGGCTTTTGGAATACAGGAAGAAGAGAAACCAAAATCGTACTGATTCCTAGAAGAGTAATGAATCCGATGTAGAGATTGCAGAAGACAGGATAGCACATGAAGGAATAGTAGACAAGAGGATAAAATGAAGTTGCAATTAGCGCAGCAATCCCAGCATAGTCAACTCGAAGCATAATGTAAGAAAAGCGTTCAGAATGACAAGAAAGCAAGTGACAAGCACTGCTTGCTAACAAGCAAAACATTGCCCCGCCCAAGAAGGCGAAGAATGGCCATCGCGTAATTGGCCTCACCATCAGTGGTGATATGATGTTTGCAACATCCTCCTTCATGCTATGCTGCAAATCATTAAACAGCACAAAATACATTAGCAGGTTATATAATTTCATCATCAAATAACTTGTGACTTTGTTGTTTATGGAGAAGTTAAAAGAAAATTTCAGCAAGATAGACCTATCCTGGGCATTGAATTAAACAAAGCTAAAGGCAAGATAGAAACTAATCTTCAAATTAATGAATTGAGAGTTCAAATGATCAAATCCACATCTGCGAGAATATACATCTTGAGAAATTAATAACTCAATTTCTTTATATGAGTATTGCTGGTAACCGTTCACGACTGAGAAATGAAGTGCGAAATGATAATTAAGGGTATGTCTCAAGGTGGTTTATAAACAAAGGTAAATGAGTGGCGAAGAAGTGGGTAGTACTTGTGGATACTATGAAATGTCAAGGTAAAAAGTGATTTGACAAAAAATATTTTTTGACAAAGATGTTTATAAACACATACAAAAAATGAGCCAAACATAGGCTGTGTAGAATGCATTATTACGTTAGTCTATCATCAGAAGACGGATAATAAAATATGCCTGGCACAAGTCAGTGGATTGAGGCACAGGCACTTAATGCCCACAAAATTTAGCAGTTGTTTAATTGATTTTTTGCATTTTTTATACCACGTTCTTCGTCAAGAAATTAAGTTGTGGAGAAAGAACAAGGGATTTAAAAACCTCCTAAAAGACATCCGTTTGAAGTAGCTTAAAACAACTGGGTGTAGTAGTTGAGGTTACCATTAATAAACAAGTTTCTTAGGAAGGTTCAGCTAGTATTAATATAACAAATCAATAATTAGATTAGTGAACATCCGCCTCTATAACAGGATTTAGATATATGGGCTCAAAATTGAAACAAAGAACCTGTTTAACTGTTGGGAAAGTAGAGATCGGCAGCCTCAAATGGTAAAAGGAATTGGAAACGGAAAACGACAGAAAACTACAAACAAATTGTACTGGCAGTATCAAGTATTAAAGTTCTAACAGATGTTTATCACTACATTGCAAGAATAATAGTCTTGTTTCACATGTCATGAGACTATAAGGTGGAGCCTAGTCAGGAGTATCTGAGGCATTCTATACAAATATTAGGTAGCATTAATAGTATTACACATATAAATGATTATTAAGGGGGACATCTTAATGGTGACGAATATATAATATATTATGGGAGGCATGAGATGATTATTGTGATTCTTTTTCTTCTTGAAAGTGAAAATCTGCAGTGGTGAGTGGAAGTATCTCTTAAGAGTGAAACACTAATTTTTTATGAGTTTTCTTAATTATGTTTTTTTTCTTATTACTGCTCTCATGATTGGGATTGGTCTTAATCCCTACCAGATGAATAATGTGCAAAAGGACGAAGAATTACCAGAACACACTCGTCAGTGTGGTTGCTGTTGGAAAAACGCTCTGGCAAACAGTTATAGAGGAGTTCCACAATATACCAATTAGATAAGGATGGTAGATAATCCATGGAAGGCAATGAAGTCTTCAACTCCTGCTGAAACTTCTGCAAATCAGGCATGTTTGGCAATGATGGGAGGCAAGTTCTAAGTTCCATCTGCAATTTGTGAAAATCCACATTCCTCAACACCTCAGGTAAATTTTGTAGGGTATGGAGGTCCACCACCTTTGGAGCCTTCGTAGCAGTGTAAATGGTCAAACAAAGGAACAGGAAGAACCCTAACAAATGCCTGCAAAGAAGAAGAAAGCCTTAGTCCACTTTAATGGATTTTGGCTACACTACGTATCTCCACAAAAGAAAATGTTATAGACAAATTCCAAGAGAATTTAGAACTTCTAAACATTATCTAACTTTCACAGTCTAGATAATATAATTGCAAGGAATTAAGAAGTCGTGACAAACTTTGGAATGCATCTACTTGGCATAATGCTTTAGGAACTTCCATTCTTCGAGAGAAATGGGTTGGGGGGGGGGGGTACTGATCATAAAATGGTCACTGCTACAACTGAGAAAAACAATGTGTAGAGATGTCTAACCCTGAAAAAAGGAGAGAGTACAACCGAAAGATTTTGAATTAGGACCATAATTCTCAAATTTTGTAATTTTTTGTTTCCTTTTTCTCATACAATAGTCACATGCCCGTCAACCATTTCCCACTTATCATACAGCTTTATTCCACGATTGCTTTTGGTGCACCTAGATCCTTTGTTCCTTTAATGCTGAGTTGTAACATTGGAGCAGGGAATTATAACTTCATGATTACTTTCTCACCTTCTTCCCAATAATCAGGCAAAATACATAATCCTTGGGTTGGAAAAATGAGTAACAAATAAATGAGACTTTCATATGATAAGAGACTAGATATACCGCAGGACTGACATTTCTGAGGATAATCTCTCCCCTGAGCTCCATATTAGCAATTTCCAATTCCAGAGGAAAAAATGAATTGGGCATCAGTTTTGACTTCTTATACCATAAATGGTTTGCTTTCTAACAATTAACCTATTGGGTTGTTGTTCACCCTCTATCTCGAGCTCTAATTCCTGCACTGCATATAAAAAGATACATTTTTTTCAAAACAAGACTTCATTGTATGTTCAATTAACTCATAGTACCTGCAGTTCTCTACCAGCAGTATATCCAAGATGCTACCATCAACCTCAAAGTCTTAAACTAATACATTGTTAACAAGACAGCATCTGTAATCTCAACAAAAGTATGAAGATCATGTTTGGTTGTGCTTAACAAAACTTAACTTTTTTTCTACGAAGTATGCTCTGCTATCTTTAAACACGGCCAAACATGCTCTCAGATGCAAAGTTCAGTTCTTTAGCCTTTCACTTGGACCATTTTTTTTTTACCTTCATGTAACTTAGTTTTAGATGACAAATGAACAATATCACAGCTTCTCAGGTATTGATGAGCACATTTGAGCACCATTTCCATACAACCAATTTTAACCTTGAGCTACCCAATTTGTTTGGTAACATCAAATCAAAGGCGCAAATTACTCATAATCAAGTATGCAGCCAATCATGAGATCCAATAAAAAATTTCATGCAAAAGCAAATAAAAACAAAAAAAATTCAATATCTGCAATAAAAGTTCCCATCTCGAATAACAAAAAACACAATACTACGTATACTAAAAACAAATTTTACAACATTTTAGGAGAAACAGATGCACAGAACGAAAAATTCTTACGTCCAAACATTGAGGGTCTCATTGTGAAGAGTGAAAATGCTGAGCAAGGTCTGCCTCAATGGCCATTCAGATCTATAATGACGGAGAATATACTCGTTGTCCTTCAAATATCCAGGCAACGAATGGTACTCCACCAACTGGAACTTCACCTTCTTCCACAATCGCTTCCCTTTCCCTTCCTTTGATGAACACCCCCTCGGATCCACATCTGATATACGAGGAGATTTCATTTCCTCAGAATTCCCTTGATTCTCAACCATTTTCTGTTCAAACACCAACTATATAACAGATTGTAAGCACGGGATCTTAATTATATTATTAATTATCACCCATTTTTAGAATACAATTTCAGCACAGAATTAATAATTAAATAATTATCAAGAAATGACAACTAAAATTGAGCCGTCAAATGCCCTCATTTAATATATAATAACATTGTGTTCCCCAAAATTCCCTTGATTCGTACCCATTTTCTGTTTATCACATCAGCTACAGAATCACAAATGAATTTTCAAGAAATGACAATCCAACAACTAAATGGCCAGTCAAGAAATGGATCAAACTCATAATTTCTTGTGCGAATACAGTTATATTCTACATCTCTGTATGTAAATTAACAGAAAGTGTACCTAAAAACAGGAATTAGCAAAGCCCACAATTCACACCCAAGAAATGCGGTGGTTCAGATGTATTTATATCACTCTCTCCTGTATGTATATGACTACTTGAATGAATCGATACAAGTATCTTCCCAGCGGCTATAACTAGAAGTGGGCTCGGAATTATGAGCCAAATTAATTAACCGCCAAAAGAATTATATCGTAATCAAATAAAAGTAGCCTCTCTGTGTAGAAAGGGGAAAAAAAATAATAGATTCCACGGAGAGATGCGGAGATGCTGAGGTGTATTTATTGGAAATCACCAGCTTCTTGTTCTAAGAAGGTGGAAGTGAGAGCGACACATGCAACTTGCAAATCAGTCTTTTTTATTTATTAATATTATTCCAATATATTATTTTCACGTGCCTCCCTTTCGCATTCTAATAAAATAATTTTATACGTAAACTCAAA